ACAATTTAGTTTATCTAATACCCTGCAATGATTGTCAGGTCAAATACATAGGTCAAACTAGTAGAACAGGGGCAGTCAGACTAGCTGAACATAAAAACTTAGCAAAATCTAGATTGGTTGACCCGAATAAGATAAGAAATCTAGAGAATAGTTCAGCTATAGCACTACATGCAGTCACACACAACCATACAATAGGATGGGATAGGATGACAGTTTTAAAATCTAATGTCACAGGGTATAGGGAGAGATTGATAACAGAAGCTTTGTTTATCGAATCAACTACAAATACATGTAATAGGAATGATTCATCACCTGTCCCCGATATTTGGAAAATTCTACTACCCATACGACGAATAGGAGAGAACAAAGAAAACTATAAAACTCAAGTGTCAAAGTCGTGTGATCACAATTGATATGATTATGAACAATAAATTTTGTTCGAAACGTCATCCAGTAAATAATACTGTTTCACTGTGTGATATACCTAATAAACAAACTAATATGGAATTACTTACTACCACAGTGCCCAAGTTTTACACATATATTAACGGATGATTTATGTTTGATGTCACACAAAATCGAAGACTTACAAGCGAAAACCGACAAACTGGTCGAAGAAGCAGCCAGAGAAGACAGGACTCCAGGTGAACATAGACAAGACGGAGGTTATGAAAATAACCAACCAACAACAGCAGCAACATCCAGTGCCAATCACCATCAACGGGAGGGATTTGAAAGAGGTTACTTCTTTCACTTATCTGGGGAGCATTGTCTCAACCACAGGAGGAACAGACGAGGATGTCAAATCGAGAATCGGGAAGGCGAGAAACACATTCATCAACCTGAAACCAATCTGTAAATCTTCGTCACTCACCATCAACAACAAAATACGGATTTTCAATACAAACGTAAAGTCAATTTTGCTTTACGGATCAGAAACTTGGCGGGTCACCAAGAATATTTTCAACAGGTTGCAGACCTTTATCAACAACTGTCTTCGCTCCATACTGAAGATTAGATGGCCAGAAAGAATCACAAACAAGAAGCTATGGGAACAAACGAAACAGGAACCAATCGCCCAACAAATATGCAGGAGAAAGTGGAGATGGATTGGACACTCGCTGAGGAGGCCGTTGAGTGACATCGCGCGTCAAGCACTCGAGTGGAACCCGAAAGGGAAGCGGCGAGTGGGACGTCCAAGGGTGACATGGAGGAGATCGTGTGAGGAGGAGATGAAACAGTATGGAATAACATGGACGCAAGTGAAAAGAACAGCAGAAGACAGAAGCAAGTGGAGACGTGCAGTTGAAGCCCTATGTTCCACTAGGAACCCAAGGGAACCATAATAATATAATAATAATAATAATACATGACATTAATTTGCTCTGCCACTTGACATTTAACTACGATTATAATCACAAACATTTTAGTTTTAATTACATTTCATATTATTATTATTTCATGTATTCACACCTATGATTCAATTCCCCCACCGGATATAATTTCTTAAAAACCAAATGTGTATATACGATTGTACAGTCTGACAATAAATTCGTTGAAAAGAGTCTCTTTGCTGAATATTGTGTTCTTAATGCTACAATCGGAATTATTAGATTGTAATTATGTCAACTGATGTATATAAATGCAATTGTACAGTTCATGAGGATTAAATCGCTGAAAAGATACGTCTGTTTCCTAAGTTTCTTGTTCTTTTCTGTCTAATTACCTACCGAACTGAAGCTAATCAATTTTGGTTCTTTTGATGTCACTTTACCGACAGTCTTAAGTTTAATTGGATGTAAGTATGGTATGTGCTTTGCACCGTCTAAGTGCAAAGTACTGTTACAAGATTGGCAGGAGCCTGAACCTGCACTCACTCTTGCGGGTGAACCACTTAAAGTTGTTGATAAGTTTGTGTACCTGGGTAGTTGTGTGAGTGCTGGCGGAGGGGTGACGGATGAGATTTCCAACCGTATAATGAAGGCTAGGGTGGTATACATCAACTTGGGCCACTTCTGACGCCGTCACGACGTTAGCCTGGCTGTCAAAGGTCGGGTATACAATGCCTCGGTGTGGGCGTTCTTGCTCTACGCCTGTGAAACCTGGCCTCTCCAAGCTGAGGATGTCAGGCGACTCTGCGTGTTCGATCATCGCTGTCCCCGCAGGATTACTTGTATTCGATGGCATCATCGCGTGAGTAATTCTGAGGTTCGGCGGCGTGTGTTTGAACACAGTGGAGATCACCATTCATTGAATGTCGTCATCTGGAAACACCGGCTCCGGTGGCTTGGACATGTGCTGCGAATGTCACCCCAGAGTCTTCCGTACAGGTCTCTGTTCGCTAGCCCTGGGACGGGATGGAAAAGGCGGAGGGGTGGTCAGCCCATGACGTGGCGTCGTGGGATGAAGGATATTTGTGCTAGATTAGCATCGGTTGGTGTGTCACGACTCCCTGGTTGGGGTCTGAGAGATAGCTCAAATCGATGGCTCGAAACGTTATCGGATATGGCCAAGAATCGTAATCAATGGCGAACGTGTTGCAATTTCCTTCTTTCTTCCCTTCCTGATGATAGTTAACGAATACTGTTTTAACTTGTTAAACATGACTGTTTTCCTTCCAGATGAAGTTCTTTATCCGTTTTCTACTTACATTTTTACTTTTAATCTATGTTGTTTAATTATTGTTGTGTGACGCATCTTTCTTGGTGCCATATTGTACCAAGTTTATTCTGTGTTTAAATAATAACTGGATGGGTTAAAAGAAGTTGAAATCAAGAAAGTTATCCAATCTACTATTTAGACTAAGGAATAAGAAGACGTAATTTGTCCGAATTGTGTAATGTATATTTGCGCAACACATTTCGAACAATCTGATCACACAGAATCGTCATGAAAATATGTATATGTGACAAATAAACGAGATTTAATAGATGAGAAAATAAACTTAAGTCAAGTTAAGAGGACAAACTGAAGGTCAAAATAACAGTAAAGCTCACTAAACTGAAGAAGGCACGCAATACTACATCTACCCTGAGTAGTATCAAAACGAAGTTTACCTAGGAAGGTCCAGTGTGATGACGACTTGTTGCTATGAATGAACAAAGATGGTTGAAACTTACTAATTGTCAGCTGGGGCTTTCACTAAATTTAGGAAATGCCCAAAACACGTTTTATCGATAAGTTTATAAGATGTGTGATAACAAGAGTTTTATGTCCTGCTTCTATAATATGCTTCGCAATAGAGGAGCTAGGTCTCCTGTTCTGAGCGTTAGTGGGTTCTTGGGAATCTATTTGCTTCTGAAGCTATTTCAGAATATGCTCTGAAGACAGTCCTTACTTGCAGAGATCGATCAGTCCTCCCTTACATTCAGCACCGGAAACAAGATTTGGATTTCTTCAATATATGGGTTAGAAACTTGGCCACCGCGTTAAGAAAAGCGTTTTAAGCAGGTTGCTGGAGACTTTCATTAGCAGCTACCTTCGCTGGTCCCCTACTGAAGATCAAATAGCCAGTTAGAAAGAACTGCCAACTAGGATTTCTGAGAACACATGAATCAAGAACCTGTTGACCAAAAGGTATTCCGAAGAAAGTGGAGATAGACCGAACACACGCTGACGAGAATGTTGACTAACATCACGCGCTAGGAATAATTTAGAGTGGAACCCGAATACGGCGTGTATCCAAGGGTGACATAGATGAGATCGTGTGAGAGAGAGATGAGGGATTATGGGCAATCATGGGACCAGCTAAAAAGGATCACAGAGAATCGGCCGGTGCTAAGAGATGTACTATTTTCAGCCCTATATTCCACCTCGAACCCAAGGAAACAATACTAATAATAACAAGTTATCGTCTTATGTTTTGATATACCTCATATAACTTGTTTAACAGCCTACTACTACTGCTGTCTGCTTGAGACTAGCCAACCGATAATTCCCACCCCGACTTAATAGTTCATGTTACGTACTACAGTGTTCCAAATGGTTATGCTTACTGCAACAAATATTTTTGCATATTCTACTATACGGCAAAGAGAGGATGAATAGTGGTTAGAATAAAAGCATTTGTCACCATAGTGTAATTTGTTTAAAGTATGGTGGGGGTTGGTCTAAGGCTGAAGTTTTGCCGAGTATGTGGTGGGTATATGTTTATTAGCAGTAAGTTGGTCCCCTCTAAAGACCAGCAAAGTAGCTATGTTGTCTCCTAACTTTCAAGCGAATAGGTTAAGAAAGTGTAACTCCAAAGATTGAACATCTTGACATATCTAATGGTGCTCCGTAGCTAGCTAGTAGGGTCTTCCATATAGATAAACCTCCATCACTAAAACAGTTCTTGAACAATTGTTTCTTGGGCTCTGTGGTCATGGAGAACAAATCCTCTTTCATCTAGTAAGTAACTGCACGTTTGTATTAGTACACAAAACGTTTCTGTCCGTTACCCACTTCCCTTTGACTAATTCTATTTCTGAAACCGCTCATTCACCTTCCCCTAACTGTTTAATTGTATATAGCAACTGGAGCCGTAGAAACACTGTTCTAAGTTCCTAAGACCATGCTTCCAACTTCACATTAGGGCTTTCAATGTGCCAGAAGTGGAAATTTCCTACTGATCCTCTTCATGAATTGAGTACACCGCTGGTTGCCTAGTGAGACAATGTCTCTCATTATGTTTGCAATTTGTCCCGCATAGGAACTTACAATCATTTAAACAAAATCGTAGGAAACAGTTAGTGTCACCGGCTCTTCATCATCGGACTCTGTAGATACGAAAATACTTTTTCTGTTTCGCTCATCTTTCCTATTTGTGTTCGTCGGTGGCACAGTGGTTAGGACTCTCGCCGACTATGCACATGGTCCGGGGTTCGATCCCCTGCCGACACACACCCGATATCAATGGTCGGCCTGCAAAATTTTGGGTTACCGATATCACATGCTGAAAATTCCATACTTGTACCAGAAATACTATGTGGAATCAAGCTGTAATCAAAACAAAAACATACCTTGAATGCAAATTGTCCCGAATAATCATACATTCCACATGAATGCATAACTGACAGAGTATCACGGGCAGCAGCAGCACTGACAACAGTTTCACCAGTCAACGGATTAATTCCACCATTAGCCAGCGTGCCAGCCATTATAGCAATAGATTCACAATTGACTTCAATTGAACACAATTGAAAGTAGAAATCCATTAATTCACGCAATTCGAACGGTGGCGGGAAACATTTGTTCTCACGCATATAATATGCGATGGCGAAATTACGATCAGCTGTAGCACGTTCGGATAAAAAGCTGTTAAATGCGAAAAGTATATTGTACTATTAGAATTCTATAATGTGCGGCTTTAGAAATCAATATTCAATAGTAATATAGCGAAAATATTCAATCAGGCATCTTTAAAACACAAAATAATTGAGCAGCAAAGAATACCCTTTTCGATAATTTCCTCCTCTTCTGGCTCCACAATTATATATATATATATATGTTCATATTCATAGAATATTGTCGAATAGTAGTCAATAACAATATTAGTGTTTTTTTAAATAATATCGATTTGTTAAGTAAGATCACAATGGAATTACAGTTCATTAAAGAAGCTTAAATTATAATAATAATAATATGACAAATAGAACAGAAGCAGTCCGCTCCCTCTTCTTTTATGGCTGGCTGTGAGAGAAACATGGCCATTGAAAGTGAAAGACATGAAAAGCACGGTTAGCTGACTTTGAACATAGGTGTCTACGTTCTATCTCCCGTGAGAATTGGTTTACTAGAGTGAGCAATACCGAGATGAGACTTTGGTCCAGTGCCAGGTGAGGAGGAGGGGAAATCAACCAACAAGGCTGTGAAGTTACATCGATTGAGATGATTAGGACATGTGTTACGCAGGCATGCCCAGCCATCACCTTCCTCGACGTCGATTGGCGATGTTAGCTGACATGGGATCGACCAGGTTGGAAAAGAGAAAGCTAGTGGTGGTCAAACCAAGAGGACGATATTCACATTGTCCTGTATTCCACTGCAAAATTACCTCAAATAATGAAGGTTTGTCTTAAATTCCCTATTCAATCTGAACTGGCTTTGACGTCGTCATCTGTGCTACCTGTTCGTATGAAAACAGTAGCTTTAAGTTTGTTTATTCGTTTGTCCAGAAATGTCCGTTTTACAGTAATGGTGATTAAGAATTATCCCGTATGAAAACCACTTTTTTCATATTCATAAAAGGGAATTCAAGTATGGAGCTTTTGCATAAAATATCTTTCCAATTTCCGTCAATATTAACCTTCCTATGTGTTATTTGAAATACACACGCATTAGATGATCACTGATGAAATCTCAGCAATGATACGGCAGGCTCATTTGGCATATGCCAACTTACGCCATCTCTGGCATAGTAGACGTAATATAAGTCTGGCTGTTGACCAAAGGACGTGTATACTGTTCAGCACTTCGCTCTGTACTCCTATATGGCTGGCTGTGAGACATGCCCATTGAAAGTAGAAGATATAAAAAGGCTGGCTAACAATCCTTAATCATAGGTGCCTGCGTTCTAGCTCCTGTGTTAGATGGTATAATAAGGTGAACAATATTGAGGTTAGGCATCGGTCGAGTACTATTTGGTAAGGAGAGGAAATCAATTTATGAGGTTGTGAAGTTACATCGACTGAAATGGTTAGGACACGTCCTACACATGCCTAGCGATCGATTGCCTTCCTCTATGGACAATGTTAACTGCCATAAGATCAGGTTGGAAAAGAGAAAGGTGGTGGTGGTGGTCCAATCATAACATGTCTTCATCAATCAATGAAATCCACAACAATTAGTTGCGTCGGTGGTACAGTGGTTAGGACTCTCGCCGACCATGCACATGGTCGGGGGTTCTATCCCCTGTCGAAGCACACCTGATATTTATGGTCGGCCTGCAAAATTTGGGCTACCGATATCACATGCTGAAAATTCCATACCTGTACCAAAGAATACGGTGTGGAATCAAGCTGTAATCAGAACTTTTAAAAAAAATAGTTCAATCCATGTAGGGAAATGCAGACTTCCTGACTGGTTGTGGTCGTCAGGGTGGTAAGCACCAATGAAGGCTGCAGACAATTAGTGATCATATGGCTCCAAATCGTTCTCAATGGCTGATGCATATGCATTCACTCTTTATGACTTATAATATCCAATAAAATTCTATTGTTCTTCCATATCACCATTCATTTGGCCTCATAATCGTGTTTATTACCTCTCTTCTGAATCTTCCTCTACTCTCTTACCTTGCTTTGTGTGCTACAAGGACGGAGTGTAGCGACTCGAACTGCTGCACGTCTGTGTAAAATTCTATGTTGAAACCAGTCAGTCAATCATGAGTCAATTGGCTGAATGCTAAAACGAGCTTGACCTCATAACTCAAAATTTCTGGGTTCGATACCCGATAGGGTGATGGGTGTACACTGATGAGGGAGGAGTAACTAGCTAAGACTTATAACAACTGTCTAGGGGTTTCTGGTTATCAGCAACCGCTCCAACTGATGTTAGTTCGTGAATAAGTCTATCTGGATAGAAAGAAAGAAAATAAACTACTATTGAAAAACGAAAACTACTTATAACATTTATCAGTAGTAGAATGATTGATATTGAAACACTGAATTAACAAAAAGAAGAAACGGGGGGCGGGGCGGCGGGTGCCAAACAACTTACACAGCATTATTAAAACCCATTGGTAATCCACCAGCCATTTGACTGAATTTGCCTTCAACATACTTGAAACGCTCCGGAGGACTTAAATGTGGTTGGATTAAACTACAAACTGCTAAAGCTCCTGAATTGATCAATGGATTGTGCGGTCTATCTATAAAAATGAGTATGAAAATATTGAGAGAGAGAGAGAAAAATTGAAGTCAATAAGCGGCGTGAGAACAGTGACAGATTGAAAGTGTCCTAGTGTGTACCCACCGGGGCTCGAACTCAGGGCCTTCCGGTTAAAAGGTAAGCCTGTAGACCACTCAGTCACTGGAATGCAGTCTGACGGCCTGTAAATTCCAACCTCTACTTAATCGTGATTTCAAAGTGATCAGTAACTAGTGTTATCTCTGGTGAGTATTTGTCCTCACACGCAGCAGGGTGGAGCCCAACACTGGTCACGACTTCCTACATGCACTGCATGCATTAACACACAATCACACAATAGGGCGGGTGGGATAGAGTCAAAATTCTAAGAGGTAATATAAGTAGGTGGAGAAAGAAAGACTGATCACTGAATCCTGCCTTGTTCATCGAGGCTACACCCAACCCAACACATGCAAAAGAAATGACTCAATGCAAATACCAAAGATATACATGGAAGATATTACGACCACCAGTCAGTCAAATCAGAGGAGGATAATAAATAGTCTTAAAATTCTATTTCAATTCAATTCACATACATTATAGCATTCTAACAAGTTATTTATTTTATTATTTATTATTATTTCCTTTAATTCCTAGAGGAAAATAGGGCTTCAGCTGCACCTCCCTATTGCGTTCGGTTCTCTGCCAGAGTCTTCACCTGGCTCCATATCTGCCCACAAGTTTTCATCTCCTCTTCACTTGACCTCCTCCATGTCACCCTTGCACTAACGACCAACTCGCCGCTTCCCTTTCAGGTTACACTCGAGCAATGGCTTGTCTAGTGATACCACTTGATGGTTTGTTTCCTCAGAGTATGGCCAATCCATCTCCATTTCTTCCTGCATATTTGTTTCACAATCGGTTCCTGCTGAGTTGGTTCGCTCATTGCCAGAGATCCCTGTTGCTGATCTTATCTGGCTGGCCATCTGATCTTGAGTAGTACTGAGCGAAGACAGCTGTTTATGAAGGTCTGTGGTTTGTTTGAGATGCTCTTTATGACGCGCTGGCCAAGTCTCTGATCCGTATAGTAACACTGAATGACTTCACATTGGAGTTGAAAATCCGGATCTTATTTTTGATGCTGAGTTGGGCTGTTGACCTCCACACAGACTTGAGAGTAGTGAAAGCTTGTCTTGCTCTTCCGATTCTTGCTTTGATATCCTCGTCAGTTCCGTCCGCCTGTAGTTGAAACGATGCTTCCCAGGTAGGTAGGTAAGGAGGTTGTTACTTTCAGGTTCCTCCCATTTATGCTGATCGTTTTCTGTTGTTGTTGTTGCTGGTGGTGGTGTTGTCCAGGAATCTTCATCACCTCTGTTTTCTCAATGTTCACATGAAGTCCTATCTTCTCTGGATGCTTCTTTTGCCAACTTGTTGCTTTTCGCTTGCATATCTTCCAGTTTGTGGGAAATCAGACGCACAAATCGTCGGCGAAGTCCAGATCCTCCAAGTTTCTTGTGTGGGTTCATTTTATGCCTGTTTCCTCATTGCCCACTGTTTGTCGCATTATCCAGTCTACTGCAATCAAGAAAATCATTGGCGATAGTAGGCAGCCATCTTGTTTTACTCCTGTCCTCACTTCGAAGGATTCCTTAAGTTTCCCGTTGTGGATTACTTGGCATGCAGCATTGTCGTGCAACTGTTGGATGAGATGTATAATTGTCGGTGGCAACCCGAAGTAGCGAAGTAGTTATTTATTTTACTATAAAAACATCTTAATTCCAATCTTATTGTATTTTGTTGATAACACTCGTATTATTATTTCCGAATGTACTTTATCTTATATTGAGGTTTATTCAAATGTCTAATCATCAACTTTTACTCATGTATATAAAAGAAACTAGAAAGTTATGTGAGTAGTGCCTTGATATGAATATGAGCAGCAATAGATTGTGCTCGAAACGTGGCTGCATCAGTAAATATCACTATACAACACTGTGCGAGCTTCTTGTCTTTGTCTCCTTGTCCAAGTTACTCCAAAATTTCCCCTATTATTTAGGCTATCATTCGACATCTGCCTTCGCTTGCTCCATACTGAAGACCAGATGACGGGCCAGATAGAATCAGCAACAAGAAACGTTGACTGGGAACAAGCCACCAGGCAAGAGACGATCGCTCAACAATTACGTAGAAGAAAATGGAAATGGATGGATAGAGCATACATATTACTGAGGAGGCTGTCGAATGACATCGCGCGTTAACCAGGCCATCGCTGGAGTGGAATCCCAATGGGAAGCGACGAGTGGGTCGTCAGAGCTAGGGTGACTCGAAGGAGATCGTGTTAGGAGGGCAATCGTATGGCTGACCAACTGAAGAGTAAAGCAGAAAAGAGAATAAAGTGGAGATGTGGTGTTGAAGGCGTATGTTCCACGCGAAACCCAAGGGAGTGATGATAATAATAGAAACAGTAGTCTATCATAGAATAATATTCGAGACATATTGCAGTCTACCTACAACTCTATCCCTAACTAGCTTAATGTTCTGTATAAAAATATATGTATATATTTCAGGTACGCCAATTTCTGTACTCTTATTTTCTCCTCCTAAATGGTTAGAAGAGTTAACGACTCTTAGAGAGAAAAAAATCGTTAATAAAATAAATTTAGAAGAAAATTATAAGTCTCGAGGTGAGATGAATACGGACAGACTGGCTAAATGTGAACTATAACATTCCAAATCAAAATAAAACTAAGCCAATACTATTGGCTTGAATTTCATTTATAATATTAAAAGAAAGTATTAATGACAGATTTGAGGAAAAAATTAATAATGTTAAAAACAGATTAGTAAATCGAAAAATTACGAGACAGAATCTTTTAGGCGGACATTTAAATTATGCGTATTTTGTAGAGAGAGATTTCAATAAATTATTGAATGATGGAGAGTCCCAGTGCAGTGCTCCCTAGTGTTTTCAATGATCCCTATTTTAACTTTTATATTAGTTCATCTACAGGCGGAATGAACGAAGATGTCAGAGCCAGAATCGGAAAGGCAAGATACTCACACGCCTTCATCAACCTGAAACCAGTTTCAAAATATTCCTCACTCAGCATAAGGAGCAAGATTCGGATTTTCAACACCAATATCAAGTCGATCCTTCTATACGGGTCAAAAACTTGCACTGCGTGTCACAAAATAGGATTTCCAACAGGTTGCAGACTTTCATCAACAGCTGCCATCTTCGCTGGCGCCACATTGAAGATCCTGCGGCCAGAAAGAATTAGTAACAAGAAACTCTGGCAATAAAACAGCAGGCAAGAGCCAATCGCTAAACAAATATGTAGGAGAAAGTGGAGATGGACGGATCGAACATACACACTACTGAGGAGGCCGTCGAATGATATCGCACTCAGTACAGGCTATCGCTGGAGTGGAATCCTAATAGGTAACGACGAGTGGGTCGTCGCTATGAGGATGACATGGAGGAGATCGTGTGAGTTGCAGGAAGAGATGAGAGATTATAGGCAATCGCGTGGCTAGCCAGCTGAAGAGTACGGCAGAAAATAGAACAAAGTGGAGATGTGTTGTAAAAAGCCCTATGTCCCACTCTGAACGCAAGGGAATAATAACAATATAATATTAGTTCGTATCGAAATCTAAAAACTGGAATCAACCCCTTGTGTTCGGACTAGAACACAGAGCTTCAACAATCACCTATACGCTTTCATCTCCTCGATGTCACCATCGCCGTTTCCCATTTGGCTTCCACTCGAGGGCGTATCTTGTGTGTGTTGCTATCCAACGGCCGCTTCAGCCTGTGTCCGATCCATCTTCTTTTTCGTCGGTGTATTTGCTGAACAATCAGTTCCTCATTGATTCGTTCTCAGAGTTTCTTGTAGCTAATTATTTCCAACCTGCCATCTAGTCTTCAGAATGGAGCGAGTAGAAGCAGCCGTTGATGAAAGTCTTCAGTGGCCTATTGGAAATGCTTTTCATGACGCTGACGCCAAGTTTTTGACCTATTCAGAAGCAGTGATCGACATAGCGTTTGTGTTGAAAATCCGAATTCTACTGTTTATACAGAGTACAGTAGATCTTCAGACTGATTTCAGAGTGATGAGGGTCTGTCTTACCTTTCCGATTCTGGCCTGCTTTGACATCTTTATCCATTCCGACTGCCTGTGGTTGAAACAATGCTGCCTAGCCAGATAAGTGAAGGAATCAACCTTTGTCAATTCTCTCCCGTTGGTGGTGATTGGTGCTGGTTGTTGTAGTTGTTGCTGTTGGTTGGTGATCTTAATCACCTCCATTTTTTCTACGTTCACCAAGAGTCCTGTTCGCTCATTCCCCACAGTCTTCCGCATAATGCAGTCCACCACAATTACAAATATCACTGGTGACAATCAGCAGCCAGCTTGTCTTACTGCTGTATTCACTTCAGACTCCTCGCTGAGTTTTCCGTTGTGGATCACCTGACAAGTGGTATTGTCATCTAGATAGCTGTTGAATTGGATTCACGAAGATTTAGGAAACTACACTCAATAATGATGAAGTGGTTTCCAAATTGAAGGCCTTTCCGAAGTCGATGGAGTGAATGAACAGGTTTGACTTCCATTCTATGCTTTTTTCGATGAAGATGAGTAGAGTTGCAATTTGATCAGCACATGATTTGCATTTTCTGAATCCATCTTGTACCAGGCTGGTGGAGTTCCACGTCCAGTGTATCTTTTATTCTCTCCAGAATGATGCGATTTAGTATTTTACTTGGCATGGACAAGAGCATTATTCCACACCACTTCTTGCAGATTGAGGCGTGAGTCACCCTTCTTTGGCAGCTTGACATGATAGCCAGCCTTTCTTCCAATCGGTAGGTACTTTTTCTTCCTTCTAAACCTTTTGCAGTAATGACGTGAGTACATCTGCCGCAGTCTCAGGGTATGTGCTTCGGGAGGAATTCCATCCTGCCATACTGCCTTCCCGGCTGTATTTCATTAACTTGATCGCACTTAGGATTTCTGCTTTCGTTGGAGGACTGGTGTCCACTGGCAGACAGTTCTGTGCGTGCTGTTGGTGGTGGTGGTGGTATTTCTGGGCGAGTTGCAAGTGATGGTCAACTCGCTGATAATGACCGCCGCTTGCTGTTTTTGTTGATCAGTGACTACTTTCATCATCTCTGTCTTCCTCGGGTTTACCTTAATCCCTATTCTCTCTGCCTACATCTTCTGACAACTTGTCAGTTTTCGGCTTTAAGTCACTGAATTTATGTGACATTAGACACAAACGACCTACAAACTCCAGATCTTTTGGATTCCTCTTATCGGTCAGCCCAATGAGTTCGTGTCTTCTAGCTCCCTACGCTCTTCCGCATAATCCGGTCTACCACAATTAGGAGTACCATCGGTGATTGTGGTCAGCAGACTTGTCGTACTCCTGTATTCACTTCGAAGGCTTCACTGACTATTCCGTTGCGAAAAATCCGAGACATGCGGCATTATCATACAGTTCTTGAATTCGAATCCCTATAAAATCCTACAATCTAAACATCAACCTCCTTCTCATTGATGGCTATTAGATGGATGGATGTCCTAAAGCTGTGCTGAGAAGTAAGGACCAGTGACGTCCATCATCTCAAGATGAAGTGAGTACTCATCGAAAGCATTGATTGACGGAAGCACTATATCACTAACTGATAAAAATTGGAATTCACAGGTCAATGAATTACGGCACAAGTGTGGTCAAATGCTCAAAGAGTATTTCCTCGTAATCTAAAGGCCCAAGGTTTCCTCACTGGTGGGGTAGTGGATGTGCACTGCTTATGAGTCCCAAAATAGTTCGAAATAGCTCTCTATTACTTGTTTTAAATGATCATATATTATTATTATTATGATAATTACTATTATTATTATTCCCTTGGGTTCCGAGTGGAACAAAGGGTTTCAACAACACACCACTTTCTGCTATTTGCCGCTCTCCTCTTCAAGGGATGAGTTCCACGACTGCCCATAATCTCTCATTTCCTCCTCCAACTGGCACGATCTCCTCTATGTCGTTTCCAATTCAGTTCCCAATCGAGCAATGGTCTGCAATGAGTTCAGTATCATTCGACGGTCTCCTCAAAGTATACTCGATCAATTCATCTCCATTTTCTCCTACATATTTGTTGAGCAGCCAGCATTTCGCTGGGTTTTTTTTCTACACTTTCTTCTGGCGCTAATTCTTCCTGGCTGTTTGCGCAGATCTTCCGTGTTGTGCTAGTTCTCGCCTTCATACTGTCTTTCTTTGTGTTCCTTTCACTTCCTCGATGTATCTCTACAACTCTATATCAGATCTGCTTTCTCTGACATTAAATCTATCTCCCTGCTATATGATGCTTTTATGCCAGCCTATGAACGTCTCTTTATACACTACTGATAAATCTAAATCAGTAGCACATGCCACACACAAACACATACATGTTTAACAGATGAATAAGACCAAATAATCTGGAAATCAATACGAAACAACGCCCAAATGGTCACTTACTTTTATGATTCAAGGAAATTTGATTAAACGGTAGACCAGACGGTTCATATCCAACATACTGATGAACGTATTCTGGACCCAAATCGGTCAAGGCTATTGCATAAGTGACTGGTTTACTGCTTGACTGCATTGTGAATGGTACATTACTATCACCCATAGATAACCTGTCAAATTTGTAAAACAAAAGACAGTAGAACACGCACACGTACAAACGGACAAATCAATACACACACGCCTCCAAAGTCTCAGGATGGTTGGGGGTGGGTGCCTTGCGCTGCGGGTTGACCACCCCTCCGCACACCTCTTGAAATGCTCCCATATGACCGGGCGTCTTACATAGCCTCTCCTGAGGAAGTCCTACTCACTGCCTTCACGTGGCGGAGGTGTTTTTCACCAAAGTGGGAGGGCGAAAGCGGATGCCCGGCGCTCTTCACCGGCTTGACTGTCCATTGGATGACAGTCTAGGGGAGATGGCTAAACCCTGACTCCAAACCTCCAACGACTGGCGAATGAAGCTCACTGGAGCTCGCTGGCAGACGTATGGACAAAGGGCTTGCTGGATGTCCTGGATGTCTGGCCCCATTCAAAAAGGCGTAGGAACCGAACTCCGGTCACCGGCTGCCAATGGATAGTGGACTCCCTACTCCACTCCTACTGTCTTGTAGGTCACACTTGGTTGTGTAAAGGCTAGAGCTGCACTCTCAAACAAAAGGCTGAGCGATTCTAGGGACATCACTCGTACCAAATTCCCATGAAACTTCATGAACTCTCTTATGGAGATGTTCATGAAGCCGGCTCATCCTCCCGTAGGAGATAGCCGAAGTAAAATAAAGTAAATAATACACACACATGTAACGAATGTTTACTCACTACATACCAACACAACATCATGGCCGATGGCTGCTTTCTGGATGTGATGTTGAATTTGCACGTCATAATAATATAATACTCTACAATGTCTGAGATTCCTACCATGCTATGAAAAGTTGTCTCAGTAAGGGTTAGACTAACGGCAGTTAAAATCACAGTGTTATTCGTGTACCCTATGTGAGCAGGAGAGGGCAGGTTTGAGGGCGAAGTCGACTTGCCCGCTGGTGTAAAAGCAGCAAGGTGTTTTCCTCAGACAATAAGGAAGCCAGATATGCTACCTTATCGATGTGAAAAGAGGGCAGTTAGGAAGAGTCAACCTTGAAAATTTACATTTATATTGACCCTGCAGTGATCCGTAATCAGCTATAGGATCACACGGATATAACTCCATCAACCACTTCACACAGATAAGGTGTCTATGAAAAGCTTTAAACACACAACAATAATGCTGTGGTGAGAGCTGCCTTCAAGCCAAAAATTGCGGACAACAATTTACGTCAATGTTACGTCGCGAATCGGGGCCATGAAGAGAAAAATGAGAAAAACAATAACAAAGTTTGACTTCGAAGAACTCATTAAACCAATGGGATTTCACTCAAGCGATGGCCTGCATTGAGCACAGTGTTATTCAGCGTTCTCTCCAACGTGTGCCCAATTCATCTCCATTTTCTCCTACATATTTGTTGAGCAATCAGCTCTTGCCAGCCGGAGTTTCTTGTCGCTGATTCTTTATGGCCAGCCGGCTGGTAATTTCATCTTCAGTATGGTGCCAATCACTATCAATAGGAGGGATTTGAAAGAGGTTACTTCATTCACTTATCTAGGGAGCATTGTCTCAACTACAGGAGGAACGGACGAGGATGTCAAATCGAGAATCGGGAAGGCAACAAACACATTCATCAACTTGAAACCAATCTGGAAATCTTCGTCACTCAACTCAAAATCAACAACAAAATTCGGATTTTCAATACAAACGTCAAGTCAGTCATTTCTTCTATACGGATCAGAAACTTGGCGGCGGGTCACAAAGAATATTTCCAACAGCCTGTTGCAGACCTTTATCAACAACTGTCTTCGCTGGCTCCATACTGAAGATCAGATGGCCGGAAAGAATCACCAACAAGAAACTATGGGAACAAACAAAACAAGAATCAATCGCCCAACAGATATGCAGGAGAAAGTGGAGATGGATTGGACACTCGCTGAGGAGGCCGCTGGGTGACATCGCGCATCAGGCCAATGCTCGAGTGGAACCCTGGAGGGAAGCGGCGAGTGGGACGTCCAAGGGTGACATGGAGGAGATCGTGTGAAGAGGAGCTGAAACAGTATGGACTAACATGGATGCAGGTGAAAAGTACAGCAGAAGACAAAAGCAAGTGGAGGCGTGCAATTGAAGCCCTATGTTCCACTAAGAAACCAAGGGAACAATACAATAAAATAGAAAAACTGACCTTGCAGTGATCCATAATCAGGTATAAGATCACACGGTTATAACTCCATCAACCACTTCAAACAGATTAGGTGTCTATGAAAAGCTTCAAACACTTATCCTCCAGGCTCTGTGACTATACAGCACTGATGCTGTGGTGACAGCAGTTTACTTCAGTGTTACGTCGCGAATTAGGGTCATGAAGAAAACAGTGAGAAAAAACAATAACAAAGCTTAACCTTGAGGAACTCACCAGCCAATGGGATTTCACTCAAGCGATGGCCTGCATTGAACACGACGTTCTCCTAAGCGTGTGCCCAATCCATCTTCATTTTCTCCCTCATATTCGCAGAGCAACCAGCTCTTGCCTGTTGGTTTATTCCCAGACGGAGTTTCTTGTGACTAATTCATTATGGCCAGCCGGCTGGCAATTTTATATTCACTATGGTGCCAGAGAAGGTGGCAGCTGTTGATGCAGGTCTGTAACTTGTCGGAAATCCTTTTTTGTAACACGCAGTGCAAGTTTCTGACCCGTATAGAAGCAGTGACTGACTGACTTCACATTTGTGTTGAATGGAATCCGAATCTTGTTCTTTATGCTGATGGTTGATTGAAGACGTGTCTTGACTTTCCGAGTCCTACTTTGATGTCCTCATCCGTGCTATTACCTGTACTTGAAACGATGCTTCCTAGACAAGCTAAGGAAGTAACTCCTGTCAATTAGCTCCCTTTAATGCTGATTGGTACTGGTTGTTGTTGTTGCTGTCAGTTGGTTAACTTCATCACCTCCTTCTTCTCTATGTTCACGTGGAATCCTGTCTTCGCTACCAGCGTCTTCTGACAGTTTGTTGGTTTTCGCCTGCCTGGAACTCTTAGAGTTTGTGTGACATCAAACATAAATTATCCACAACAAAATCCATATCTTCAGTTTTATTGTCGGTGCTCCAGCGTATTGCTGTTTCCTCACTCGGTGATAATAGACAGTCAGATTGTCTTACCCCTGTATTCGCTCAAAACATCTCATTGTGTTTTCCGTCGTCAATCATCTGACACGTGGCATGGCCATATAGCCAGCTGTTGAATGAGATTCATGGAGATTTGGGACACTACACTCTATAATGATGAAGTGATTTCCAAAGTACTCCTCGGTCAACACTACACTGTCGAAGGCCTTCTCTAAGTTGAGGAAGTGAAAGTAGAGGCAGAATTGACTGCCATTCTATGCTTTGTTGTGTGATAACGATGCGTAGAGTTGCAATTTGATCAGCACATGATTTGCCTTTCCTGAATCTAGTGCATTTTTTATTCTCTCCAGAATGATGCGACTTAGTATTTTACTTGGACTCTATAGGTGACTTGAACAAATATTATCGACTGTGGAGTTGTCTCTTCTTGAATGATAAACACATATATTACAGTATTTATTTTAAGAACATCACAGACTGATAGAAGATAGAATTCATGGGCCACTCGATGAAGTCGTCGTGCCTCAATGAAGTACGAGTTCACCTTAAAACCAAGAGGTGCCAGTGGATGCGTGCCACTGAAGAGTCCCAAACTGGGACGAAATGACCGGTTATCCAGTACTCTTTGCGGCAGGTTTTTAATGGTTCTCCAGCTCACTATCAATCAGTCATCAAGTTTGAAAAAACAAATCAGATACACACCCCCTTACAAACTAACCACACACACAAAAACAGACTTCAAAAATAAAACCTACCGTTGTCCATCCACTGTGCATAATGATAAACCCCAATAATTTGGATTAACTTGTGCTAATTCTGGAATATAACTTGCCACTTTCCCTGTTTTAATAGTTTTACATGCATTGAAGATTGTTACAATTTCATTTTCAAATGATTGAAAATCTGGGATACAAAAATCATTCGTCATAATACGTATTAACATGTGGAGACTGTCTTTAGCAACGCTGAAATAAGTGAAAGGAAGGGAAGAAAAGAAGAGAAGAACGATTAGGGAAATAATTATTGAATTGAATTTTAGACTTTCCCGTCGATTGATTGGACCGAAGTGATCGGTCTCAGGTTGACATGTCGGTCCTCCTTGTGCAGATGCTTCGAAGATGTCTGGACATGCAGTTAAAAGTTAATTGGTGAATGGTGACTAGCAGTAGAATCCACCAGGATGCGCATTTCGTCCTATTCGGGACTCGTCAGCAACTGGATGTACCTGCATTCCCCAGTGAGTGGTCTAGTGGATAACACTTTGGCGTTTAAAAGTATGGGCACTGAGTTCGAGCCTTGGTGGGAATATCATCACTCACTGGGGAATGCAGGCATATCCAGATGACGAGTCCCGAATAGGACGAAATGCGCGTTGCCCTGGATTCCACTGCTAGTCACCATCCACCAATTAAATTCTAATTAGGGAAATAAATCGTATGAACTGTGGTCAAGATTTGACCGAGTAGTTTTTTTTTTGATTTTTTTTTATTTTGATTTACAGCTTGCAAAATAATTGGGCGCTGAGTGAGAAGTAGACATTTGTAAAAAAAATTATAGTTGTAAAATCTCAGGGAAATTGAATTGAGTAATTCCAACATTTCCTGCGTTCGGCAAACTGGTCAGAACTTCTTTAGGGAAACAATCGAAATTAACATAACAGAGGTTTATACATACAAAAAAGGGCGAAATCTCTTGTTATTAAAAAACTTTGTCCAATCATATTAGTCATAAAACAGGTATCAGCATGTATAATAAACAAAATTGTATGCTGGTGTTGTTAGAAGATGGAGATTATCTGGAAAGTGTGATGTATTTGCGCCATACATTTCGAACAATCTAATCACACATTTGCTTGTCAAGTCGATGTATATGAAAAAATTAAGGGCAATTAAATTAAGCAATGCGACAACAACAAAAAAGGATTTAAGAATGATTAACACAACGTTTGGTAATCCAATCAAATAAGGATTACCAAGGTAGGTTAATTTTCACAGTCTCTGTCCATCACAGGATAAAAGAGGCTTGGTGAAGTGTCTGTTTAAGAGCAGTCAACGTATTTTGACGACTGATGTCATAGAAAAAGAAAATGAAATACTGATGGATACTCTTGTTGAAAACGGATATCCTTTAAAATTTTTAAACAGGTGTAGAAGTCAATTAGTCTTTAAACCTACATTCTATACCGCCCCTAAGAAAAAGGTTTTCATCAAATTACCATATAACGGGGAAATAAACAGTAGGATCCTGAGACATCCGTAGGACCTATTATGCGGCCCGGCTTGTAATTATCGATGAAAGCCGAAAATATACTCAACTGCAAACTTCAAAAGTGCACAGGTGATTATGTCACAGACCATACTATCTACCAATTTTCGTGTGTGTGTGTGTGTGTGTGTGTGTGTGGACATACATACATAGGGAGGAGTAATCCTGCTTTGCATGTGAGGGTGGGAGAGCAAATCCCGAAATGGTTAGAAAAACAAATGAATTGTGGAAAACCAATAGACGCAGGTGTCAGACTGTGGTGAGAGCTGGTTGCTAGCCAAAGTTGGTAGACAGTGATTGACGTCAATGTTTATGTCCCCAATATTGGTTGTGAGAAAATGAGAACAAAGGCTTTGCGTAGGTGGATACAGTTAGCATATAGATGATTTGACACAGCCACAAGAGATGCAAGGTTAACTTTCTGTGAGAAACAACCAATCAAAAGACTATATTTTCTACTAACAATAATCTACAATAATGTACATCAAAATCTATATAAATTTTGATCACAGCTCATAAAATTTTGTTTATTATACTTGTTGAATGACTCATGATTGGACAAAGTTTTTAAAAACAAGTGATGTTCCTTTTATATATAAACCCCTGTTATGTTAATTTCGATTAATTTCCCTGAAGAAGTTCGAACCAGATTGCCGAACGAAACGTTGGAATTACTCATTTCAATCTCGCTGAGATTTTACAAATATAACTTTTTACAAATGTCTACTTCTCACTCGGCGCCCAAATATTTAAGAACTATTCTGTCAAATCTTGACGACAGTTCATTTGAATTATTTTGCAATCGAAATAAATTAACAAAGAAACTGTGTAATTGGCATGATCATCATGTTTTCAATCTCCGTTGTCTGGAACAAAATGCACATCCTAAATCCGTAGCTGTCGAGTCACCTGACAACTCCAGTAGGTCGAATAAAGCAGCTCAATCTTCAGAAAGAAGACAAAGCAATAAGTCCGGCAGGGTGCTTCTAAACTCCAATCCTAAACACCATAATTTTGAAAATACGTCTAGGGATCAGTCCTATAGTACGTATCACCAGGACGTCAAACAAACATGACCCTGGCTAACCAACCGCTATGATGATCAGTGCGGCCTAGTCCCGAGCGTGAAGCGGGTGTGTGGCTGTCCGTCTGGCTGGCTGCTTATTGTGTGTGCGTCGGTGGCACAGTGGTTAGGACTCTCGCCGACCATGCACATGGTCCGGGGTTCAATCCCCTGCCGGCGCACACCCGATATCTATGGTCGGCCTGAATTTGGGCAACCGATATCCATGCTGAAAATTCCATACTTGTACTGAAAATACGGTGTGGAATCAAGCTGTAAATCAAATAAAAAAAAATAAATAAAAATTTTGAAAATACGTCTAATCATAAAATTCTAGATACTAACAGTGTGAACGGACATGAAGCTGATGCATAGGAAATTCTTATTAATAAATAAAAAATGGATATGTATCACTAATTATTAGTACTTGGTCAAAATTCTCCACTGTCCATATCTTCTTATGGAGACGTTAAGAAATGTTTTACAACTGTTTACCCACACACACATACACACTCTGTTTAAAGTGTTTAACAAAGGTAGACCAATATCTGTAAGTCCGAGGTCAAATTTTGATCACAGCTCATAAAATTTTGTTTATTATACTTGTTGATACTTGTTGAATGACTCATGATTGGACAAAGTTTTTAAAAACAAGTGATATTCCTGATATATACAAACCGCCGTTATGTTAATTTCGATTGATTTTACTGAAGAAGTTCGAACCAGATTGCCGAACGAAACGTTGGAATTACTCATTTCAATCTCGCTGAGATTTTACAAATATAATTTTTGACAAATGTGTTGATTTTCTTTAATAAACGATCTGTTGCCTGGCCCTTGTCTTCTGTTGTTACAAGACTACCAACATCGTCTATAGCCAAACATTTAATCTAGATGAACCATAAGATTGATGTTAACACAGCCTTTAAGGCTATCTAAAAAAAATGGTCAAGGGCGCTTATTGAAATACGCTTAGGCTAAAGCTATTCACAAAATAAGCCTTTCCCCTCCTCTGTGTATTCGAAAACAGTTTATTATAACTCTTAACATACCTTGGTAATCCTTATTTGATTGGATTACCAAACGTTGTGTTAATCATTCTTAAATCATTTTTTGCTATTGTCACTTTGTTTAATTTTTTTTTTCCTTCACGTTCCCCAGTTGAACATAGGGCTTCAAGCTAGTGGCTTGAAGTTTCTGTAGCAGGGTTTATTTTACAGGATGGGGTTGCTAGCCTCATGCCCAACCTTTCCTCTTCACCAGCATTATTTCTGGCTTAGCGAGGTTTGGGAGTGCGTCAGCCGGGGATCGAACCCCGGACCATGTGCATGGTCGGCGAGCGTCTTAACCACTATGCCCTTAATTACTTTTTAATATATATCGAATTGACAAGTAAATGTGTTAGGGATCAGATTGCTCGAAATGTATAGCGCAAATATATCAGATTTTTCAGATAATCTCCGTCTTTCTAATAACACTATCCAAAATTGTATGAACTGTCATCAAAATTTGACCTCAGTCTTTCAAAAATTAGTCTACTTTTGTTAAACACTTTCAACAGAGTGTACATTTCATCAGATTACTTTCGACTAAAAGTTCATAGTCGTAGATAATTGATTCTCGCAAGTGACTTGCTACAGGACGGAGTTTTCTGAAGTGAGTTCTAGTGAGAAGTCGTGACCAGTGAGGTCCAACCAGTCAAGTGTGTGAGGATGGATGTCCCTTCGACAACATTGGTTGGTGCCAGTCGTGCTAAATCACGAACTGGTAAAAGTTAGAATTCATAAGTTGGCTACAGAATCGGGTCCCAGTGGTTGAATGGTACACGAGCTTGCCTTGTGACTGAAACCCAGTAGATTCCTACTGTCGATGATTAACAAACTAGCTGTCCAGTACTCCCTGGTTTTAATGGTTCTCTAACTGATATCAATCGGCGATCAACTCGTGAAAATATATGTGTATATGCAGTATACAATGCTGTGTGTCTGCACGGGTAAACAGTTGTAAAACATTTGTTGGGTACTCCATAAGAAGACGTAGACAATTGGGAATTTTGATCAGGTGTGATTAATTAGTGATACATATCCATTTTTTATTAATTAATCAAGATTTACCATGCATCAGCCAACATTACACCACCACCTGTTGGGATTCACCCATACATGTAGGACTTCCGCAGTCAGTCAATGATTAGACAGACAGTCATCACCTCTACATTAATACATGAACAAATTTTGGTCTAGTTTTATAAAAGTTTTGCCACTTGATGTTTAACTAAGAATATAATCACAAATATTTTAATTGCATTCCATTCAACTATTATTATGATTATTTTATGCATTCACAGCAATAATAATTAATCACTAATTTCTTCTATCTATCTATCTGTCTGTCTGTCTGTATTCGACATAGAACTTTGCACCGATGTGCAGCAGTTCAAGTCGCCACACTCCCTCCATGTAGCACACAAAGCAAGAGAAGAAAGTAGAAGAAATGCATAATATAGACAGTAAACAGAGGTGAGAGACAAAGGAATAGTAATAATGAAGAACAATTTAGTTTTATTGGGAATTATAAGTCACAAGGAGTGGATGCATCTGCATCGTGCATTGAGAATGATTTTGAGTCATATCACCG